TCCCACAAATAAGGGTACAGATGTTTTGCTTAAACTGTGTACCAAAATTAATTTTTTGAATCCTCCTACTTGATGTATCAAAGTTAGGCATCTAATAAATGTGCTACTTTTAAAAATATTATGAACACCCACATCTTATTTTTTGACTATGATACAAACTGGATACTTTGTAAATCAGGCTGCTTAGGTGTTCTTTTTAGGCACTGATGTATGAATATTTGGTATACAGTTAAAGATGAAATACCTTTAAGTCCATTTCATGGGGAATTTGGTTAGAAGTGTAATAAAAATATCCATGAGCCTAGGAAAATAACTAGGCAAGCCGGCAAGTAACTAGGAAGAGAAATAAAGCTGAAGTAAAGCTACTTATTCTTAGGGGCAGAATGTGTTTGCTGATGCAATTTATTATTCCTTAGTTTTGTACTAATATTTATGAGGGGCAGAGGTTCAGTTTACATTCACAGGGTTATATGCATCATATTATATGAGCAGGTCATACGTTACTGTGACTTGTTAGCACTGTGTAATGACAGTGGGACTGAGTTTTGCATCTCAGCCTCTTGCTTTCATTGTCATCCCACTGGAGTATGGTATGCTTGTAAATAATAATTCCCTAAAAAAATGAAATAGTGCCTAATGAATACATCCAGTATCTATGATTTAACTGTGGGTTGGACTAGAGTTAGAGATATTTTTAAATAGCATTTCAAAAGCTTTGCTCAAAACACCTTTTTAATAAAGGTATGATTATCCAATTTGCAGATCTGCCTCCCACAGAGTAAAGCATAATTTACTATGCAAATATTACTACAGAAAATTAATGTACACAATATAGTTTAAAATGGCAGGAATTATCAAATTTGCCAAATAACCCAGGAATCACTCCATTAATATATATACTTTAAAAACTGCAGATGAGAATTACATTATTTTAATTTGTCTAATTTTGCTGACTGTAGGTGCTATTAAAAATAATGATGAAGGATCAATAGAAAAAGTTAATAGTAATTTATTATTTTTGTCCTAGCAGTAATGAATGTCCTTCTGAAGTTTAATATACAGCTCCTAGTTTATTTGTGTTATAAACTTCTTTTCAACAAGCTACTTTCATATTAGGTTGTAATTTATGACTGACTAGTTTGTCTAGACAAATAATTGACAATAAAACAGATCTTGTAAACAAGAACTAGCAGAGAAAATCAGTAATGTTTTAAGCCCTGAGAAATACTGAAGGTACTTTTTACTTTTTAAATCACCAGGTATATTTTATGTTGAAAACCATTAAAATAGAATTCATTTTGCAAACGTGTCAAAAATAATTTGAAAGTAAATTGTTTTGAATACTGCCATTGTTTAATAGAATTGCCCACATATCTTTTGGATCAAAGGTAAGTGGTACAGGTTCCTCGGACTACACAAGGACCATATTACATATTCTGTCACAAAACAAAACGAAAAAAACCTTTTGGAATATGAACTATTTTTCTATGCCTTCAGCTAGAAATTTACTGCAGTGAAGACAAATACAATAAAAATCGGTGGAAATGAGGGTTGAGGATTACCAATATGGCTATTTATATCTCTTGAGACATCTGCTTTCGAGCACTGATCATTTTTTGGGGGTATAAATTGTGTTCTGCTCTCAAACAACTATTTGTTATTACCATTAAACCATTGAAAATTTCTAGCTAGATCAGTTTGGTTTTTTATTTATTAAACATATGTTGGTGGGTGGTTGTTAGACATGTACCAAAATATTTTCTTTAAAATTCTTTATTATTTAATAGTGTATTCATAGTCTAGCAAAACAATCACCAAAATATCTGCCTAAACATTTGACCTGTACTCAGAAAAGCCTGATGTTGCAAACTCATTGCTACAGATTCACATTGCAGCCCCTAGAATATGCAGTCACTTTCCAGACTGGGCACTAGAAACTACTATGTAATTTGTATGAAGATATCTTTCGATAGGAAATGTTAGGCTGCCATATAACACAAACACCTTTATTTTTCATATTCCTTCCTCCATCTGTATGTGGTGTAATATAAGAGATAAGGTAGGTAGTCAGAGGACTGGCAAAGACACTGTGTTTTTTCCTTCCTCGTTTTTATTTTATGCTTTGAAGAGATGGAAAATGCACAGTGAATACATTTTTAGTATATTTAAGTGAGGGTTGAAAAATTACTATTATATTTTGCAATTATATTTTTCAGAATAGAAACCTTCAGTCTGTGTCTATATGCCAACCTGAAGCCTGGTCTTCTAAATCCAGAGCTTTAAAAGCATCAGCATTAAAATGGACTGTATAGGGTCGAGCAGAGCTGTAACTGTCTAAGCTAAATACGTTGGCATTTCTACATCTGTCCCATGCATGTCCGTGCTGTGATTGTTGTGCACTGTATGCAGCCATGCCTGTTGGATCTTCAGTAAAGCAGATTTGGGAGAGAAACTGCCAGAGAGGAAGAGTCCCAATTCACACACTCACTGCAAGCATCAGTAGATGCATCTTCCTTCACGACTTAGGGGAAAAACATTGCTCTCCGAGGGCCCCACCAAGTGCCTCGGCATTGATGCAACAGAGGTGAGGTGGGATAGTGTGCTCTCCCTTTTATCTCGAGAAAAAGAAACTGGTTCTAATGTTTTACTAGACTGTAAGAAGAAGGTGCCTCTTTCACTTAATTAAAGCAAGGCGATCTCATACAGTTCTCCTTTATTACACTCTGGCTGCTCAAAGTATGCCTTATCTGCTATGAGAATAGCTGAAAAATGTTCATTGGGACTTCATTCCTCAGTTTTAATGGGGTGGGAAGAAAATGCTCATGGCTGTCTTGAACGTAAAGGAGGATGGAACTGATGAAGGAGGAGTGTCCTAGTTATGTTGGCGTGATCACTGTGTGAAACAATGCAGGATTTTCCATATTGTATAACATGTAGGGTAGGTTTAGTAGTAAAAAAAAATTGGATGGGTCACAAAATTGTATGCGTGAGACATATTCTGCCAGCAAAAATCTTGCTTTAAGTAACACTAATAACAGTAGGAACACTATTAGGGAGACTTTGTTTGCTTATATATGTTTGCTTATGACCAAACATGTAGAAAATGGAACCTTGGCTCATTTCTGAGCACAGTGTAAGGAGCATCTTTTTCTCTTTTGTTCAGACTCTTGTTTGTTAGTCAGTCTTCACTGGTTCACTGGAATTGAGGGTGAGCTGGACTGTCAGGCAATTCATTTCTGTGAGGCTTTCTAGAAAGGAAAATTGTGCTCATGTTTACTGAACAGAAACACCTTGCAACCTGCAATCTTTGAGTGCTCTCTTTCCTGCTTTGTGAAATAAGACCTTATGATAGTACTTACATTACAAGGATGTTTTGAAGAGAATCTAATTAGTTTTCTGTTGGCCTAATACTACCATGAAAAGGGCCGTTGTAGTGTCTGAGTAACTACAAAAGAAAAATGGTAACAAGAACACTGACAAGTAAGTAGAGTCCTGATTCTAAAAGAGTTGCCTTAAAAATATTTCGTGCCTCAGTATCATTGCAAAAGTCAGTCAGAACCCCATGCAAAAGAGGATGCTATTTAATGCTTTTTGGTCTGGCTAAAACTTTAATTTAAAATACCATTTTACATTAATTTTATTCAAATATAAATAGTGGAATGTAATGGAAGATCTATTAGTTAATAAACAGACTTGAATTGCTGTAGTGAGGAGTGATGAACAATTTAATAAGCTATTCTGAGTAAGCTAACTTTTGAAAAAGAAGGAATTAAATGGTTTTGCAACTACTTTTTACAATTTAGTGTTTGAGGCCTTGGAAGAGGCCTCTTCAAACTGAACACAGTTTGAATAAATGTGCCGTAAAAGCATTCATGGTATGAAAAACCAATTTCCAATAGTCAGTAAAAGTACTCCTAAGCTAAAATATGCAACTAACATGAAAAGAAAAAGAGAAGGAGCATGAAAGAATTTCTGGAAGCAGAAACGGTGTGTAGGAGTTGCATATTCTTCTATTAACAGAAGAAAAGATCCCCACATAAAATCTTAATTTACTTTGCTACTTTGTAACTTAGGCATTGCCATTACAAACCAATTTTAGTACAAATTTTTATGATAGTCTGGAAAATTAGCTTTTCAATTGCTCAATAATGGTTTTTTTCAATCATGACAAGTTAAGTATTTATTTTTATGAGACTGTCTAGTTTTACCCCACTTAGAACAGAATATGATGAAACATACTGCCCTGCAAGGCTGAGAAGCTACTGACTTGGCCTTGATACTCAGTGTCTAATGTTTCTGCTACAGAAAATTATTCTTGACCTAGGGAGCATCATAAGCATGAGGTCTGGCTAATACCAGTAGTGTAAAGGCTGAATCTTGTTTCCTCCACAATCTGAGCATAATGTCTAAGACATACGTTCCATAGGCTAATGTCCAAGCAGATATTTCACTGCTTTGCTTGGCAGCCTTTGACAGTGTTTTCTACTCCCAAGGTGAATCTTTCTCCCTAAAATCTAATTGCAGTTTTCTTTGGTACAACTTGTATTGCTGCTCCTGTTCCTTTCAAGGAGCACCTCCAGGAAGAGTCTGCCTCCATTTCCCTTGTAATCACCGCTACATTTGTAAAGAGAACTGTAAGCTCCCTCTCTCCTCCATCCAAGCTGATCGAGCTTAGCTCCCCCAGCCATACAGGGTGAGCACACCAGCCCCAACAATCGTGGTGATCCTCTGCTGAACTTGATGCCGTTTATTAGTTTCGTTCTTGTATTGTGAGTGGGACCCAGTACCCCAGGCATCAGCTTACAAATGCTGAGCAGAAGTGAAGGATCATTTCCTGGCTAAGCCTCAACTGTTGCAGCCCAGTACGTGGCTGGCTCTTAGAGCCTCAAGGATATAGTAGAACTTTCAGGTTCATGGAAAATGAGGGGAAATGGAAGCATTGGAAAGTGCTATTTAGCAAATCAGTCACTAATGTGATCTCGTGTCTTCATTTCACCTAGAATGTTCCACCTGATTTGTCCATCTGCACCTTTGTGCTGGAGCAGTCTCTGTCAGTACGGGCCCTCCAGGAAATGTTAGCTAACACAGAAGAAAAGGCAGAAGGGGTAAGTTATGAAATACTCACTTTTTTTTTGTCTTGCAAAATACAACAAATTTTTTCCCACTGTACCACAGATGTCATGACTGGCACAAGCTTATAGCATCATGAATTCCTTATGTTTAATTTTCCACCTTTCCTTGAGGAATGGTCTGATTTTTGAGAAATTCTATATACTGGCAGCTTTCACTGAAGCTTGCCAGAGTTGTAAATTCCCAACAGTTTCAATGTGCTGTGGGTCAGCATAGAGCTTCAAGAATGTTTTAACTTGAGATCTCATAATGTGAAATATAAACCTCTTCAGAACAGCTAAGCTTTCTGAGGATTTCTGACTGTATCAAGTGAGACTGTCAAGTAGTCTCAAAATTACTTTGATGTCTGCTGTTTTTGTCTGGACATAATGAAATTGTTCTGTGTGGTCTGAGCTAAAATGTCCTGTAACTCACCTTTAGAGCTGGAAATAGAATGTTATTGAGTCTCAGTGGATGAGAAAAATGGAAACTAACATGTTTTTGCAGTGTGGAAGATGAAGGATAGGAATAATGTTAATTGTTTGACTAGCATATAGGTAATTAATGATCTCTGCTGTGTAATTAATTTGATTTGTTATGATGTAGTTGAGTGTTCCATATACACCCTGTAGGGTTAATTTGAATGCCATGCTCTGACTCAAATGCTATAAAGTCTAAGTGAGGAAGAGTGACTGTAGACCCAGGAGTTCTACAGATAAAAGAGAAGTAGGGGCTAATCATAAGTCTGTCACTCAAGAAAGCTGTCAGGAGAGAAGCGTGCTTCTGATATTTCTGGGAATGCCTTGAGAAAGCAAACTTTAACATAGAACAGTCAGTCCTATAAAATGCAAGACACTGAGACTGAAAATGGCATTTGGTAAATGAAGTCCAGGAGCAGTCCCATGGATAATCCAAAGTGTGTGCTGTCAGTGAGCATTTGGACTAACTCCAACAGCCAGAGAATGAAAAGCACATCTGAGAGAACAGGTGGTACCAGAGTAAGCAGATCCATGCTTCTAAACAGGGACCCCTCTTCCCTTAGTTTGTAAATGCAGAAACCAAGAGCAATCAAATCCACAGGGGGGAAAAAAAAAATCAAAAGAGCAGGCACATACAGGTATAATGTCAAAAATCACAGTCCAAACCCAGGGATGTGCAGTGATAACTGTGTGTGGCCATATATGTGAAGTAGAGCAACTGTTTTCTTCCTGTTTATTCCCACCAGATGTGGGCAGGAGCAGAAACTAAAGAAAGTTTAGGGGAGTGCGTGTTAAAGTAGTGCTATAGGGCAGGATAGTAAATGAAAAAAACATTCAATTTTCAAATACAAAGTATTGAAACTTTTTAAAATGATAACATTAATTGGCAGATTTTCTGTTGAGCTGTCTTTAGCAGAGTCTTGGGGCCAATCGTTAAGTGAATATTTACTCTTAATACAGAGATCACATCCAGAGAACACGGGGAAAAAAACAAGTTCTCTGCAGAATGGTCAGAAAATGTGAGCTCGGGCATTCTGCTGGAAAGAGGGTAGGTTAAAGAGAGCATTGTAGAGGTCTCAGGTGGAACATTTGCACTAGTTCTGGACTATTTTCTGCACTGGATGTGAGCAGAAAAAGACTTTTGTAAGGCATAGTGACTGATGGGACCTACATACTCCAAGCTGGAAGAACCATGTTTGGTGGTAATCTGGTATTTCTTGGAAACAATTATTGATGTTTTCTGCGCATAACCATGAAGGTCAGCATTCTAGGCATTCATATCCTTGGCGAAAGAAAAGTGATGGCAGTTGTACTGGCATACAGTGCTCTTTGCTCACGGGTCTTCTGAAAAGTGCACAAGAAAGACAGAGCAAGGTTTCTGAGTGTGGTCATTATGTGGCTGTTACCTGTTTACCGAGTAGTTTACTGTGCTCTCAACACCTACTAAATCCCAATACTAGCAGAAGATACAGAGTGAGCTACAGCTGTACCAACCCAAATAGCTGGTGTTCACTGAATAATGAATATATTTCTACTGCAATTTTTGCATGGCTTCTGTGAAAATGCATTAGAAATCTGCCTGTGTGTCTCTTGCATACTAATATATTAATATTAGAAGAGAATAATCTTGAAAATAGCTTGTAGATGAACAAGGTCATATTGTTGTCAGTGTCATTATTTTTCTTTCTGGTAAGTCTCTGGAAGCCAAGAATAATAATACTAAAATGGCTGAATATGTACTTGCTGGTAAATTAACAGAACTGACATTTGATATATGTAAGTTGTTTCTATGAAAAATATATAAAGCTTTCCTTTGTGTATATATAGGTATTGATCATAGGGTAGGTACTTATTTAGGCAGCTTCGTATTTGTTTGAAATGTGAGTATTTGCTAGAACATGTGAGTTGGATGTTTAATGACTGATGTGGTTCCTTCAAGTTTTATGAGAAGGGGTAATTTTGTGCATATATCTGAAGCACTGTTATCTTCCTGGAGCAGCATCAATTTTTTGTTTAGAATAACAGTGGTTTTTTTCATTTAGGAGAAGAAAACATAGCAATTTCTTGAGAGATTGTTACTATAAACTGGATTCAATACAACCTCAGTTTTCTAATGGAAAGAATCCTGCAAAGGGAGGTCTTTTCAGTCCTCAATTACTTTTCATTACATTAGAAATCATTAAGGCTGTTGTGTTTAAAAGTGGTCTCCTTATGCTTCTTTGCTTTTTGTGGTGTGTAATCTCTTGAATGTTATGTTTATATAATGGGTATTCTTATTACATAATAGATAAATCAGTAGTAATGAAATGGTTGAGTAATATGTACAAAATCTCATGCTGACTTGAGTCAGAACAATAAACAGCTTTCCTTGTGTTTAAGAAAGGAAACTGGGTGCACTAATTGGATTTAATTTTAATTCTAAATTAGTAGGTATTAAATGTGTGAGATTACCTCTGCAATAAATACCTAACTTTTTAGCGTAAGAATCCCAAAATGAGAATTCCCATACTTCATGAGATTAGTGATCCATCTATATGAGTGTACCTACTTCTCTCTTTCGAATCAGCTAAATGTTAGTATCAAAGGCAACTGTGGAAAATGAGTGAAGTTTTGATAAGAAAGAATGTGCGTAGTGCTCTGTTTCTTCTAGCTCTAGGCACTGAGTAGTTACTTTGTGCTCTGAGGTTTCATAGTTTCCCTTTAAAATACTATGCTTAGCTCTGGCAGTTTATTAAAACATTGAAATTCATAGCTTTTGGTTTAAAAAATAAACCCACAACCTGTTTTGTTTGCTCAGGCGGCATTTCATTTTAAACATGTAAATTTTTGATTTTGCTGGGGACTTGAGTGCTGTATGCATTTTTGCATATATATGCAAAATATACTTTTTATTGTTAGTTCTTCTACAGAAAAGACCCAGAAAAAGGGAAGGAAAAAGGGAGGAATCCTGTGGAAAGATAATAGTAAATAATCATATAAATGAATACTATGATTACATGTGTACCCAGAGTCTGGGCTCTGGTCTCTTAGACAAGCAGAATTATAGCTGCTCTGTCCTGATGGGCCTACAGCCTAGGTATTATTTTGTGATTATTTTGACTTGGGTTTTGAGTGTAACTTTTTGTCGTTAGAAGAACAGGTAAAATATGAAAATGGAAATCCTTAGGATTTTATAAAGCATTTAAGACCAGAAAAAGCCTTCAGGTCATCTATTCTTAGCCTGGTCATTACATTTTTCCAGTAAGCCCTCTCAGGAGCCCAGTGCCTTGTTTTTCACTAAAACTTATCAGACTGAATGATCCTGAGAAAGTGAATCCACAGCTTTCCTGAATAATTTAGGAGCGGTCACCACAAGATATTGTAACAGTGTTTTGCTTCTGATTCTTTTTACTCTGATTATTTGTTGGTTTTGTTGGGTTTTGTGTGGGTTTGTTTTTTTTTTTTCTTAATCAAATCTTCCTTTACTAGATTCAAGAGCTCTAAAATTTAGTACTTTCTCCTTGTGAAAGTACTGAAATGCCATAATCAAATCAGTTTGTGGAAATTTTCCCTAATTTTCTTAGGAAGTGAAGCCAGGCCATCTATCTGTCACTACTCTTGTATTCAGTAACTTCTGAGATTTCTGGACAATACAAACAATATTAGAAACAGGGGTAAATAGTTACATTCTTCCAGATGTAATGGATATTGGGTAGGAGAAAGCGACCTAACTTTCTGTCCCTGTAAGAGGAAACGAAGGCAAAGCTGGCTGTTTTACATTACCATCAACTGCTGTTGTGCTGGTGTACCTTCTGCACTGCTGTCTTGTACTCAGAAGAGGTGCCAGAGGTACATGGGAAGGAAGTTGCCATGTTTCAGGTGTGAGGAAGGGACTTATAATTTTGTGGCTTCTTTCGGTTTCGGGGTTTTAAACATCTTTTTCATAAAAGTTAGACAGCAGACCTGTAGATAGTATACTATTTTCAGTCTCACCTTTTATGACAAGGAAAATGGTTTCCCTGTGTCCTACTTGGACTGTCCTGCCTGTATATCCAGGGATTGCCTTAATTCGTATCTTCAATATGTTGTGTCTTGCTGATATTGATGATTCATGAAAGATCTTACAATGGCTGGTACCTTTAGATCCAGCATACAGATTTCAGCCACGACAGCAGGTGAAGTAGGTAATGATGCTGGTTATTGCCAGTTTCTTGACCAAAATCAGGGCCACCATACATGCTCTTGAGCAAGCTTACCTACTTTCAGTCTCTACTGATGACATACAGGTGAATTTTTCAGATTCTACAAAATTCTCTACCAAGTCACTTTTCTGTTGAGTGACGGTTCTAGAGCTGTCAAAAGAAAAGGTATCCAAATGTATTTGACGTAGAAAAACATCAGGTATTTTCTTAGCCTCAGCTGCTTCGGCAAATGATTTAGACTTTCGTCTCAAAGTTTTTTGAAATCATTCTCAAGCAAACATGCTGCATAAAAAACAGCTATTAAAATAAAAATTTGGCACAAAAGTATAAAAATTA